TTTTAAATCTTGTTTGCAATTCAAATTTAAAAGGCATTTTCAATTAAATTCTAAAGGGCTGCTTCAGGTGTGAAGGAGAAGATTTTCGGTGAATAATGACATAAAATGTAATTTGTGAATCATACAGTATGGACTATTTTTATGACACTTTATGACATGGATTTAAAGCTTCAAAGTTACTATCACTATTCTTTCATCTTTTGTCCATCTCCTTTGGTGTTCCATGGATGAAAAGAAAAATACTGGAAAAAACACAGACCCACTGGATTAGTCCTATTAAGACTGATACACAACATTTAGTTTGGCTTACATGTTGTGAAGCATAAGAACTGGCAGCAGCGATATTCTGTCTATCAGTGTATGAGCATCAGTGGATCTCTCTTTTTCAGATTTTCTCTCTGGTGGCGTTGTGACTTGCGATGACACAAGACTCTGCGTGTGATCTACCATCTTGAATGAATTGCCTGCTAGCCGCCCACCACAACAGCAGCAGCATGCAGCTCTTCTATACTGACCTTCCAGCATACATCAGCAGCCCACCAGACAGTGGTCATCACTAATGCTACAGCCACAGCGGCGTGGCAGACAAATCCATTTCTCAGCAGGCCTACTTATATAATCCATATATTGAGTTGAATTCCATCTCAATCTTTGGCACCTGTGCTAATGAGGAAAAACTGGGAATTTAGCTCCTCCTTGTCAAGATTAAAGGGGATACAAGCTACAAGCAAAGCACCAGCAATCAGTTTTGATCATTCATGGTTTTGTTTAATACATGTAAAACAGGAGATGCATTTTAAGGTATGATTCTAAAAGGTTGAAGCAGAACCTCAAAAACTGAGCTTGTGAAACTAAAAATAAAGCTGAATCTTATTATAGAAGTACATGAATGGGCTTTTAGAAATGCACATTTATTATGTGATTTCAATTTGTAGGTAAAGGCTGCACTTCTGCCTGCAATACCCTGCTGTGCTTTCTGTTAAAGGAATAATGTTGGAATTTATTCCACCTTGCCAATTCCAATTTAGGATAATTTCTTTATTGAAAATACTGAATCCTTTGACAAAAAAAAAAGAGGTCTTCAGAATTTCATTTTAAATCTTTACATTTTTCTGCAAGAGGTAAAGCAAGAACACGAGTCTTCACAAGGATCCCTTAATATTTTGCTGTTTTTAAGATTTTATTTTATTTTATAAAATATTTCATTTAATAAGATTGGCTCCTTGCTGGACATTTGATATTTTTTTTTTCTCACAGTCCCTCTCAACACATACAAAGACACACAAGTGTTCCTGTCCCCATGTGCACGTGTTGAGTATTCAAAGACCTTTCTAACAACCTCTGCTAATCAGCCTACTAAATATACAATGGCATAAATAAATACATAGATGACCATAAAACAAATCCATCCTCTCTTTCAAGTACACATTTTACTCTACAAATTTGTCATAGGTTGTCCTGGGATCACTACATTAGTCCACTCATTAAATCTGTGGAAATAGGAACCCATCCATAAACATTTTGTCTCGGGCCCCATGTATTTTAGCGATGGCCCTGTCTCCATGCATTCACTGGCACTCTATACTGACTAATGGTTGGACAGAGAATAAATGGAATAAATAAGCTGCCAAATATTGATTTCAAAACTCTGATGAGAATGATGGATGTTCTCTCAAGAGATGGATTATCTGACTGCGCCGTTGTCAACAAGAAACTTTTATTCATGCCACTGACAACAGTTTTTTTTGTCTATTTCCATTGATAACTCTTTTCCTATTTCCCATGACACACTAACAATAATAATTTCCAATAATTCTTTAATTTACCCCAAAGTCGTCAAAATGAAATAAAAAGTAAAATAAAGAAGTTCGTTTTTTGTAAATTTCCTAAATTCTTGAGCCAAATTTACCCAACCACTTTTACTAAGACATTGTTCTGACACACCATAACATTTTTTTTTTTTCCCTGAATAAAACGGTTTTACTTTTGAACACATTTGAATTGATGATTTGCCTTGTGAAACATGCTAAAAATGTAATTGTATCTGAATTAATTATTTGAAGTTGCATTGTGAATAAATTATAAATCAGAAGTCTTGGAAAGACTATTCTGAAAATGTAAGGTATTTTTTTATTGTACAAGGTATAATGGCAGCCAATTATCCAGAAATGAGGAATGATTGAATGAGTGAATTAATAGGCAAGGCAAGGCACATTTTATTTATAGAGCACAAGTTTAACACAACCATAGTTGATCCAAAGTGCTTTACAATAAAAATAACTGAATTTAAAGGGGTCATATGATGCTATTTTAAAGATCATTATTTTGTGTATTTGGTGTAACAGAATATGTTGACATGCTTTAGTGTTCAAAAAACACATTATTTTTAAAATACTGTACATTATTGTAGGTCCTCTATGCCCCGCCTCTCTCAAACATGTCGTTTTCAACAAAGCCCCCTCCTTTGACAAGCGCAGTCTGCTCTGATTGGCCAGCTGACCCAGTGCATTGTGACTGGCCGAACACCACAAGCACGCGTCGGAAATGTAACGTCCCTTTCCATAATCGCCAGCTTCAGCTTTCAAAGTAAATATCAAGACAGTTAATAATGTTGTTAGTTTTACCATCAGTTCAAGCCCAAAAGGGCAAGAGAGGGGGGGAGACAACGGAAAATAAAACAAGTATTAAACTGAAAATTCATAAAACACCAATTAAACTATTCAAAGTACATACACAGCATCACTCAAATGCTAAATAGTAAAAATAAGTATTTAAACTAGATTTAAAAGCATCCAATGATGGAGAAGCTCTGATGTTCAAAGGTAGACTGTTCCACAGCTTTGGGGCAACTACTGAGAAAGCTCGATCACCTTTTGTTTTACAACGTGAACGGGGGACAGATAAAAGTAACTGATCACTAGATCTTGGAGGCTGTATGTGGCGTAATGAGATCACAAATATAATCCGGACCAGAATTATGCAATACCTTGTATGCAAAAAGAATAGGATCTTAAAGTCGACTCTAAGTTTTATAGGGAGCCAGTGTAATAAGGCAGACCTAGAGGCTGTATATGGCCTAATGAGATCACATATATAATCCGGGGCAGAATTATGCAATGCCTTGCATGCAAAAAGAAGGATCTTAAAGTCGACTCTAAGTTTTATAGGGAGCCAGTGCAATGAGGCAAGGACAGGGGAGATATGATCCCTTTTCTTTGTTCCTGTTAACAGTCTGGCTGCTGCATTTTGAACTATTTGTAACTGAGACAGTGTAGATTGAGGCGAATGTACAGAGAGTTGCAGTAATCCAATCGAAAGGAAATTAGTGCATGAATTACAATATCAAGGTCTTTACTAGAAAGAAAGTGTTTTACTTTAGCCAACTGCATTTGTGCATTTGTGTAGTTGCCAACTGCAGTTGTACATGTTTATCAAATTGGAGAAGACGATCAAAATTGACTAAAAGATTTTTTGGATGATTGTGTAGGTTTTTACTTAAGAAAAATAACTGTGTTTTAATGGAGTTGTTAGTAGCAGCAGGGCCCTATATATATATATGGGGGGGGGACAAAAAACCCTTGCTGCAGACTTCAATTAATGCTTCAATAGCAATGAGCCAATAGCTGCTGTCTATGGCTACAGAGAGGAATGTAAATGCAGCGCTGTATAAAGATTGGCCTTTTGATTTGACTCTGACAGTTCATCAAGATGACTTATACAGTCTGAGATACTTGTAGCAGTATGGCATGATATTGATATGCTATGAGCTGCATGCTTTGTCATTTTAAATAATGAGAAAACCTGTCATTAGACAACTGCACATTTCATTGATATTCTGCTCATTCACAGCTATATGCACAAGAGACTTTGTTGTGCAAGAACATGTAGTCTGAATATGTGAGCAAAGATGATATACAAGTTCATTCAGAATTCATATGAAAAAATTCTCAACACACTTGCAGAATTTGATTTGTGATTTACTGTATGAGGTCTCCCGATCTAAAATGGCCTCCAAAAGTATTTGGACACTTAAGCCACGACTTTTATAGAAATTCCAGTGAATTTGGATAATTAAATTAAATTAAAAGAAAGAAAGAAAGAAAGAAAGAAATGACAATTAATGCGACTTGTGTGTCCAGAGAGAGAGAGAGAGAGAGAGAGAGAGAGAGAGAGAGAGGAACGAAAATTTGGCAAAAAAATAAAAATTTACTCACCCTCAGGCCAACCAAGATGTAGATGAGTTTGTTTCTTCATTGAAACAGATTTGGAGAAATTCATCATTACATCGCTTGCTTATCAATTGATCCTTTGCAGTGAATGGGTTGCTGTTAGAATGTGAATGTGGATTATTGCGATGTTTGTATCAGCTGTCTGAACTCTAATTTTGATGGCACCCATTGACTGCAGAGGATCCACTGATGAGGAATTAATGCTACATTTCTCCAAATCTACATCTTTGACGTCCTAAAGGGGAGTACATTTTCATTTTTGGGTGAACAATTCCTTTAATTGAAAAAGTGTTCTTCGGACTCTTCCCTCGTGAATGCATGAGGGTATCCTTACAGGTCCAATAAGGAAGTGGGTAAGCAATATTTTTGGAGTATGAACCATGATCGTCATGTTTCCAATGAACACTTAAACTTTTTATGGTTGTGAGGTCCCATGAAACACCTCGCCCCCTTTCATTATGTAACAGTATTCCCAATGAACATTCTGTCTTCTCTTTTTAATATTTACATTTTACTTCAAATAAACCTCTCTCTGAGGCCTGTCGCCATACCCACTGTGCCCGTCTCCGTTCACCCTGCCACAATGTGTCTTGTGGGTGTGGGTATAACTGTCTGTTCTCAGCAGTTCTTGCATGCTTCTCCATGGACCCGGTAAAACAGATGCTCTGAACTGTCACAAAATTCACTTAATACAAAGCCCACTGGATGGACTGAGGGAGAAGAAATGGGGCAGGGAAGGAAGCATCCATAAAAACAAGAACATGTACTTACTGTACTGGCAGGTTCTTCCCATATATTCCCCTGGGCATTCACAGGAATAGTTCGCAACCAGATCTGTGCAGATCCCCCCATTTCTACAGGGGCTTCTTTCGCATTCATTAATATCTGCAGAAAAAAAAAAGGGAAAAAGGGAATCGTTTATATCAGGCTTAAAGTAAATCAGGTTTATTGAGTTTGTACTCTTTGTTATTTTATATTTGTCTCATCTCACTGCTTAGAAAAACATTCCAGACAAAATGGCGACTATTGATGATAAAGCAATAACACCCCCTCGCTAGCAAGTCTTTGATTAATTAAACATTTATAAACTCAAATCGTTGTGTTGCATTTGAAACAGACAAAAGAGTAAAGAATGACAAAAATTAAAACTGAGGTAGAAATTGTAGGAATACACAAACACTTCTAATATTTACAAGACTCTTTTTTATTTTTATTTATTATTATTATTATTTTGCCTTTCGTAAGGAGGAGGAATGACAGGGGCAGTTTTGACAAGTCCATTTGACTCTTCCAGGTCTTTTCCAACAACAACAACATTATTATAATTTAAAAATAACTATTTTCTATTTGAATACATTTTAACATGTAATTAATTCCTGTGATGGCAAAGCAGAATCTTCAGGAGCCATTTCTCCAGTCTTCAGTGTCACATGATCCTTTAGAAATTATTCTAATATGCCAATTTTACCATGGGTGACTGGTAGTTCTGCAGGGACAATAAAGAGACGTGGATAGTGGGATTTGGAAATGACCCAAACCAGATTCAAACTTGTTTAGCCCACACATAGGTCCAGGACCCACACATCTTGTTTATTCTAAAATTACATTGATAAGGTATACTTAAAAAGGAACAGCAGCATTGAAACATCCTGAGGTTAGGATCAACAATGGTAAAATTAATTTCAATAACCATTTGTACCATTAACTTTGTGTTGAAGTGACTGTTTGTAGTTTAAAGTTAATGAAAATCCTGCCAGGAAAATCAATTTAAATGTAACTGGAAATTAAAAATTAATGTAAAACCCCACACAACTCCCCTGTTGAACACTGCTTTGTTGAGAGTACATCTTTTATTTTAATAAGACATGTTTACACTGACACATGATAAGCTAGACCTATGCATCAGCTCACATCATGAGCCCCTCAGAGTGTTTGAACAGTGAGCTGCAACCTGCTATTGAGAGAAACTGAAATCTATATAGGAAAAGCTGTTCTGTTTCAAAACATAGCAAGCTCACCGGTGATGGTTGGTCATCGCTTTAGCATCTACCGCAACACACACACAGGAGAAAGACATTGAAATTCAACCCTATCATCCTGAGGTTTCACCACAAATTAGCTTGATGAAAGGCACACCTCTGTCTTTATTCCTCTGTGGTTAGATTAACAGGATATAGACAGCCGCTTGCTGAGAAAGAGCAGTCACAATAATCCAGCCGTGTGGTCTAGGGAAGCCCTCAGCTCTCTAAGACTGAATGCCTGGAGACCAAATTCATGTAAGTCTGACCAAAGAAGAAAGTTAGAGTGTGTAACTTTTTTTGGATGTTAAAGTTAAATTATGTCATTATTTGCTCACCCTTATGTCATTCCAAACCTGTATGACTTGTTCGGTATTTTTATATTTTGAAAATGTCCTTTTGTTCAAAGAAAGTCAGTGAGGTTCAGTGTTGTTATTCTTTAAAATATCATGTTTTCTTCCCTTTTTTCAGCTTTTCAAATATGGTGACTCTTTAGCTCCTGAAGCCTCATAGCATAGTAATGTGTCCAACTGACATTGACAATATTAAATTTGAAAATTATTTTATTAAACTGCATGTACATACTGTCACACTGCAAGTGCACTACATTTCCCCTTAGACATATCTATAGATAATATTTGTATGTAAATTATAATTGTCTGTTTTCTGGACACTTCTAGTATCTATATTCTAATTGCTTTATGTTATCTTATTTTTGATATATCTTATATTTGACATATTTTCGCAAAACATATATAGGAAAGTACACATTTTTTTTATGTTGGCAGCAGAGGCGGACAAAGTACTCAACTCTGTTACTTGAGTGAAAGTACAGATACTGCTGGTCAAACATTACTCCATTACAAGTAAAAGTTGTAAAGACAGTTCCCTTTCAGTCGGTCACTCCCGACGTCACGTCGGCTGACCGACGAAATTGGGATCTCGCTTAGAGAGACCAATCCACTTCGAGTGTAAACTAAACGAGCCAATGCACATTGGCATGCGATTATTGCATCCAGCTGCTGCTGATCACAGCGTGAGTATAAGTAGGCAGCAGATGCAACGCATATTCAGCTTTTCGCTTC